AAACCTTGCTGGATAATTTCTGTATGGTCTCCTGGATTTCCTTGGGCTAGGCCTGACAGGTTCTCACACCATGCTAGCCATATATAACTATATTATTCATAAACTATCTATTAGTATATTAATGCCAGTATGTTATTGTTAGTGTGTCAGTGTCCAATGCCGTGGCATGGTGATAAAAGTGGGGCATTTCTGTGAATGGATCTGTTTGGAAATGGAACACGTGAGAACCATTCAAAACAGGCCATGAGGCAGAAATATTTGCTCCGGAAGTTTTCATCCTGTGGAAAAATACCAGAATGAAGAGCATGAAGAAGATGCAGCAAGTTACACCTCCCAGAAGAACTGTTGGGTTCCCATATAGACTGGAGGAAGCAGTGGGAACCTGCTGGAAAAGTACAAGGAAGTGGGAGCAAAGTGCCAGAATAGGAGTGGTCTGGCTTTGATGGCCAGGTCAAGCCTTGCTGGAAGATATAAAGATGCATGGGAACTGGAGTTCCTGGGAACCATCACACAAAGTTAGCATTCTGTGTGGGTGTCCCACTTTGATTCTTCTGGAACTCAACCTGGTCTGGCCAGCTAGGCTTTGCGTGGGGTAAATACGCATGGGTGTGCCAATACATGAGTGGGTGGAGCTTTTTTTTTTCAGAAAGTGAACAATGGAAGTTCTAAACCTACATTTCTTTCAGTCTATCTCAGTTTCCAAATAATAGAGATCAGTAGATAGCACTGGAAATAATTTCTAGCCTTCAGTGTGATGGTGCTGTCTGAAAAACATAGCAGCAGACAAATAGCGTGTCGTAAGTACATTTATGTACCACAAGCAAATTCTTAAAAAGAATTTTTGTACAAGGCAGAACTATGTTTTAACAACCAATATGGTTGCAAATTGAACCGTGTCAGTTTGTATTACATGTTGAAAAGAAGAGATATTTACTGCATTTCTCTTCAGCTGATGGAAAGGACATAATCCAAAAATATGGCTCACAGCAGCAGTAGCATCAGCATTAATTTAAATAAATTCCCAGCCTGTTTTTTCTACTTTATACGCATTGTGGCTTACAAATAAAATTAAACCGAGCCATTGAAATACTAATTTAAAACAAACTGTCTACTGAAAATATAGTTTTTGCCTAATCAGCTACATTGATAAGTCTCTCTAGTGAAAAGGTTCCAAAGCCTTAGAAACAAAGCAGCATGATATGTGGCAAAAATAAGAAAATGAACTTCAATGCCAGATCTTAACATACTAAGAAAGTAAGATACAGGGCTGGGTCAACCAGGCAATATCCAGCAGATCTGTGCAAGAATCAATGCTGTCGCAAACCAATATGCAACCACAGCTGGGATGACCTGAAACTTCCAAACAGTTCTCAAGGGGAGGCCCACAAAAAGTTGGTTCACACATTGAGCAAACCACAATTGAGCATGTAACACAATCAGCTCTAATTGATGGGCTTCATATAACATGCTAAGTATAAACCATGATTTACAAGCTACGATGGCCAAACCAAACAAAGTCAACAAACCATGTTATGGCTAAGCATATGTCTGAACTCAGATGCAACAGTGCCCTGCAGGAGTCAACGTAATACGTTGCAAGAACTTGGATGACAATGGTCAGGTCTCTGTTCTGGTCATAGTTAATGTACCAGATATACCCGATAAAAATGCATTTGCGGAGAGCGTTACCACCAAGATACTTTGGAAGAATGCTGCATTAGAAATACGATCTTGTATATAAATGTAAAGACTCTCTTGAATTGTGCTAGCTGCTAGTGACTACGCAGACCCATCAATACAGTTTTCTTGGCAACAGTATGGAACTCTATCATCTTCTGGAATGTCTTCCTGACCTCTCTGGGATTTCTTAGTAACTCCCCTCCCCCCACCCCTGGTATTAATAACATTTGATCCTCAATTATTTTTTTTAGATCAGCCAAGATTGGCTAAAAGCTGTCATCTATTGCTGCACTGATCTTTGTAAGAAATGAGAAATATCCTGTGTGATTCATAATGATTTGCATGACATCTGGACAATTAGGGAAGGTTTTGGTTATAGAAATTGTGATTAAACAGCATTGTAAGTGCCAATACCACCACCAACAAAACATATATTCACTCATGCTAAATATATTTAATTTAGATTGGCTCTTTTCTTCCTTGCAGGATCTAAACATTAATACTTTGAAGAGGTGGGTAGGAAAGGCATTTTTTCAGCTCACTGGTTAACAGAGACCTAGCTGAAGAATTGCTGGCAGTGGTATATTCTATAAGAACAATGTAAGATGGTCTGCAATTTGTTTGTTATCTTTTTTAAGATGCCCTTGGACACACCAAGTCACTCATAATACCTAATTTCTTTGTGAATATTCAACTGCAAAGTCATCCTCCCTTGATTTGTCATCTCAATCTCAAAGACCATCTTGATGAACTCATAGAATCTATGATCCTAACAGGAGACATGATACCAAGAGCAGCACCACCCATCTTCAGGACAATCTGGCAGGCAAACTGGAAACATTTTGTATGCATTCAAGGAATGTCAAAGGTATCACTTGCCAGAAGGGAGACAAAATCAACAGCACACCCAAAGGAAATACTGTGGTGGGCCAACATTTAGCAACAGCCTTTACCCTCTGCCCTGTGACATGGCTTAACTTATGGCAATTGATAGTTGAAGGGATACAGATGAACAAGAAGATCTATAACCTCACCAAGAGCACTTTTAAGAAGTGAAGACTTGCACCATCATCTCTTGCCTTTCACCAGTAAGTAGCTAATGATGAAACTTGTGCTGCTTTGATTACAAGAGTCACTAGACTAGATACATGCTTGGAGTCTCTCTCCCAGTCTCTCTCTCACATACACACATAAAAACCATATATGAGCACTACCCTATGAAACTACTTCAGGTATGGGTTTGTATTCATTATATGGTTTTTCCCATTCATTTGTGCCTCTCCTCTGGGGCAGGGGAGGAGCAAAGTGGACCATTGGTTAAGAAAGCTCAATGTAATGGGCCCAGCCTAACCTGACCCAAGGGCATTCTTACTTTTTAAAATAATTCTGGTATTTCCTGTTATTGCAATCCTGAAGGGCTGTACAGACAGTATGCCTATGCAAGCATATGCACAAAAGTACATGTCCAGGTAGGCCTAGGGGAGCTCAGTGCCCCTCAAGTGGGGGAAGAAATATACTGTCCTCCCTCATGAATATTCAGCTAAGGGACTGATGCAAATCTGCTCAATGTTTGGACTAGAAGTGCAGAGTCTGAGGTCCAAGGGCTGTCCATGGCCTCTTGAAGCCTGGGGTGCAGCCCCTGGAGGTCCTCCAAAAGCTACTGCCAAATTGTAATTTTTTAATATGATCAAAGGGATGGTTAAGTACCAGAGAGGATCATATTGACTATATTTTGTCAATTTAATTATATAATTAGTTCTAAGTATGTTTTTTGCATAGTTCCTTAAATTTCTTCCTACTTCTGAACTATGGATGCCATCCTGAGGTCATGGCCTTCAGCCATGAATGAGTTGATTGTCCCAGTCTGGCTGTATGACTCACACCTTCTTGGCCTGGTTTGAAATCCAAATGGGATCAGTGAATGGGAGGAGTGAATTTGAAAGTGTGACATCTTTCAAGGAGGAGGAGATGTTTCAGTACAGGTATTAGTAGGGGAACTAGGTTGGGACCATACAATTCGGCATGGAAAGAGAAGTAAACTTTGAGAGGAAGAATAAGAGGTTGCTATGATCACAGCAAGACCAATAAAATGCTTTCAACAACTGTGTTCTACCCACTTGTCTCAACATTCAGCTCTTCTAGCAGCCCGCTCGTCCTCCAAGTAGGCTCAGTGTCCTGGCTAATGACAGAACTGTTGTGCTCTTGAACTGCTGCAGCTGCCAAAAGATTGTCCACATTCACCACTTCTGGGTCAGAGTTTGTGTCTGAGATATCATAATGGGGCACAACTGGAGGTCCATCTGGGAAGGAAAGAAAAGCTACAGATATCAGTTATGACACTGCAAAGGACACACACAGAAAAATATCTACTGCCTTGTCTGTGAACCTAGCATAAGCATTTCAAAATTAAAAAAGAAAAAGAAAAAACATCATTCTGATATAAAACATCAACATGAACTACTACAATGATATACATGAATAAATGTTTAACGTAGAAAATGAATATATGAAACAGAATGTTATCCTTCTCATTAAGCCATAGACCCTTAATTCTGTCATGGAAATTAGACAAGATCATTTCTATCAAAAAAAGATGGTGTAGGCATATCTATTTGGAAAATGGATATTTAAATTTAATAAATTTCAGAAGTATGTATTCAGACTCCATAGCTGAACACATCTAGATCTTCTCCTGGAACCAAAAAGGGCACCTTAGCTTTCATCTATATTTTGACAGAGTGAAACAAACCCAAGAAAGTTCTCTTTTGCTCAGGAGCAAAATCAAATTGGTCCAATAAAATAAATTAGGATTTCCGCTAGAACCAACTTCCTTTGAAAAGAAACCCATGCTTCTTACATTTCTGCTTCTGCCACCAAACCCTAAACTGTACTGAGCAAGCATCGCAAATTTCTAAAACTTGTGTCAGATTTTCTAAGGGGCTATACTGCATGGTATATACATTTGAAAAAACAGAAACCTCATATTAAGCATTTCATACAGTCAATCTGACATCTTACAGTGTTATGAGACAAATAATGGGCAAATCATCATTTTCAATTCAATCATCTGCACACGCTGATAAAGGAATCTGATCCAGTTTTTTATAGTATTTGTTGTTTAATATGGAAGGAGGAATAAAAAAAAACACAGATAGACTGGAAGCAAAACACAACAGGCCTACTCTCAAACTAGCTGTGTTGATAACGATTATCTATTCCTACAAAAGAGGTGGAGAAATTAAATGAAAAAGCACTGATTTTGTGACAGACTAAAAAGTCAATGGTTCAATTCAGACGTGGCCAAATTCACTGTCAGAAATATGTTGTAAGATCATGTTCTCTTCTCTTCTGCATCTTTTAGTTTCTGGGAATTTGCCCAGAATTTGCCTCCCTGTCCAAATGAGGCATATTTTGTGTTTCCATTTGTCATAGGTACTTCAAAACCAGAACTGGAAACTTCAGTTTGAAATGGGGTTAAAACTATAGTTTGCAATAATCAGAGTTTGCTCATTTGGAAGCAACTGCTGTTAGCTCACCAGGGATCTGTCAGCATATTAGGAAGTGAAGGAAGGAAGTGAGCATTGCAAACATGGATATTCTGGGTTGCCAAATTATATAGATCATATCTGAACCAAACTCAAAATTTCACAATCCATTTAGATGAACATTATTTTCCAGGAGTTCCCAATGGCATACAGTACTTTTTTCTCCAGTTATATTCTCAGAACAATCCCATAAAGGGAATTAGGCTGACGGATAACTTTTATTCCCAATGTCACTTAATGTGGACTTGAGACTCCCTAATCGTCACCCAACACCCAAAGCATTACATCAGTAGAGGCCATCAATCACTTTGAGGTTCTGAAACCCATTTGGGGAATCAGTGCTCAGCTCAGGATAGCCCCAATAGGAATTTGGACATTTTCTGTTTATTTTATTTACGCCACATCCCATTATCATGAGAGTTTCATGACCTGAACCATAAAGTATTCTATTATAGGGCTGCATACTTATTAAGAAGAAGTCTGAAGTTCTTATTTATTTATAATTTATTTATATTTATATTTATATAAATAAATTATAGGGCTGCATACTTATTGAGAAGAAGTCTGAAGTTCTTATGGGCACACCAATTCGTCAGACTGATCACTTGATTAGAAAGGCATGTAAGAACCTGTGATGGATTAGATCCAAAGTCCAGTATCCTTGCTTCCCACTATGATCAATTTGACTTATGGAAGCTCCTCTACTGTTGCTGTCTCCAGCAACTGACAATAAATCATCATCACTAAGAATTGTTTATAATCCTTATTTCCATAAGCTTATCTCATCCCTCTTTAAACCCGTATTTGATACTGGCAATTGTATTAACCATACAACCCTTGCCCTTCTAAGGACCTAACAAAATTGTTATATAAATAATGAAAGAGGAAGCCACTGCTGTCAAGAGAATCCGCCCTCACTTAGTTCTTGCTGATGGGGATTCAGAGATAGTAGTAATATCATTTGTTCATAGTTTTCTTGGCATCCTCACATAAAGGAATTCACAGCACAAAGCTGGAAATTACCTCTGCCAAACATTTGAGGGAATCACTACATGTTAGGACACACAGTATTCATATTGATTCAGTATAAAAACAGCTCTTTTAACTTTAGAAAGGCTGTTGTATTGCATGCAATGTAAGCTTCAGCCTGATATAACTAGAGATTGATAGAAGAATGAATTGTATTATAGGAAAAGTGCTTAAAACCTGAAGATATACTGCATCAAACCAAAGTCTATTCTCTATTCTCAGTAGAGGATGACCCTGATATTCCCCCAAAGCCCTAAAGTGGAGGAAGAAGGTAACAGCCTTCACTCAAGAAAAAGATATTTGGACATGATACCTCTAAACATTGATGTTCCATGTAGCTGACAAACTGAAAAAAAAAAAATCAAAATTTTAATCCATAGTTTGCTGTTCCCCATTAAAATGTTTGGCAGGTAGATTCTGAGACAAATTATGCCTAGAACATTTGAAATCAGCTTTGCAACTTCTACTGAAGAAACTTACACAAAAGTTTCAAATAAAACTTCCTCCAAATATTGTTTTCTGAAACATTTGCATTTCAAAAACGACAACACTTTACTTAAAAAGATGTATGAATGGTTAAATACGAGAAAGTATGGGGTTGGTGATGATGGAAAACAATGATTTTGCAATAAACACTGATGACTATAATGCGTGGAGAAATCCTAACAATTGGCAAGTCAGTATTCACTATCTAATATTGCATGCAACTATACAGAAGTAATACTTGAGGTTGGGGAGGGATTTGCAGTGTTGATTAACATGAAAAATGAAAGACACTTCTCCCCTTGAAAAGTCATCAGAGTTCAGTGCAACTGGGCATCAACTGACATTGCATGATTGATTAAAAAAAAGTTTTAAGTGCAGAAGATACGAGGGTTAAGTACAATATTGACTGTTTATTATCTAACCAATTATGGTGTTGCTCGTAATTCCTTTTATTGATCTGTCAATGAATTTTCTTTAATTATCAGCAATTGTCAAAAGTAGAACCAAACAGATTTATGGAGGTCAAATTATATTTAATTAACAATAAGAATCAAGTCAAAATTGTACCACTCCAACATGTATAATCATGCAAAAATGTATAATAAATGCATATACATGCAGAGTGATATTCTTATCACCTACCCAGAGAATAACTTGGGTGAAAGTCTTCATCAGTAGGAAATACAAGCATAAACTTGCTATCTGTAGCTCCAACTCTTGTATCTTCCACACTTCCAAACAGCACACCTTATAGCTTAGCTTAAATTTAGCATACATAAGACAGTGACAACTTACATGCTGAACAATAATACTTATCAGTTAAGAAAAATATCAACTGCTCTTTCAAGTTTTCATTAAAACAAGAAAAGAAACCAAAATGTTGTATGCCTTCACTCTGTGAATGGAACAAAAATATTGTTTTTAAATTCTGACTCTCAAATAAGATTAAAATATGAGCAAATCCTATGGTAAAGACCAAAGTCCTCTTGGCAGAAGGCAAATGGAGCTGAAAACGGACAGCAGAGAAGAAGACAAGGTTGGGCTTTTTCGGGCACAAGACTTTTCTGCACAAATGTTCCTACAGCAAACTGGTGAAAAAACAGGGTTCAATGAGACTTAGGCAAGGAAACTTACCAAGGAGTCTTTGTTTACAGGGAAGAGTGTATACAGGACACGTGAATGGTGCCTTTGGGATGTTCTGTTTCAAGGCTACTATCCTAGGCATACTTACATAGAATAAATTCTACTGAGGTAATTAGGGATAGTTTCTATTTTGTGTAAATAAGCATGGGATTGGATCATGTGATTCTGAAATGTTTTGGCTGAGCACTTTCTAAAACTGGTATCCTTCGGCCATTTCACAAACCAACTTTTTCAGATTTACTATTTTTCTCAGTTTGCAAAGATGCTATTATGATGTGGCCTTTAACACATATTAAGTACTCTGGACGGCACAGAATGGATCAGCCACATTCTTGCAGAATAGAAAGCTGCTCTCAAAGAGCCAGAAAAAAACCAATAAATCCATGATGATGCCAACCGAAGCAAATTAGTTTTCAACATCTGTACAGAACTAGTGCCCATAAAATTATTCAGGAAACCTAAGGAGGCCTTTCCCCAACTCTCTTCCTGCTGCCCTACAGCCCTACTGTCTACATTTCCAATAAACTCACTATGTAATGAAAATTCCGCATTAACTTTGTTGGAGGAAACCATTCTTCATGAGAAAATAAATGAAACTGCCACTTCATCAAGAGACAGGAAGCCCTTGTGACTGGGTAACCATGCATATCTCTGTGACTTAAAATATTTAAATTTAAAATATGTGAACACAAAGTGCAATGGTAGAAGAGTGAGATTAGAGCTCAATATAAACATGAGGGGGGGGGGGGGGGAGAATAAAAACAGATTTACAGGAGGAAAATAAGCCTAACATCCAAAAATCATCTAGGTTAGCGTTCTGCTTCCTGACTGATAAACCACATGCTTCCTGGAGGTACACGAACAAGGCATAAAAGCAGTAACATCCCACAGTTGCCGATTTCCAATGAGCAGTGTTCAATGGTACATTGCCACTGAAAATGGAGGTTTCATATAACTTTCACACCTTCGAGTAAGACCCTCTTCAAAGATGTCTAATCTCCTTTAAAAGGGAGACTGAGTCTTTGCCTCTTATTTCATCTGGCGACAGAAGCATTCACTCTTCTCAGGTAACAAAACAGTAGATTAAGAAGAGATCTAATGGCAGAATCACACAG